ATAATAATAATAAAATAAAATAAATAATTATAATTACAACTGAAACATTCATGTTCTAAACATATGATTATCAGAGAAACTATTATAGCATATGAAAGTTCCTCTTATCTAGAATTTGGCACCATTATACAAGAAACCAATTTGTAAACTATCTTCTTCTGTCCTCATTCACCCAATGCTTTTAAGTAAGAATTCTTACCTTCTTGTAAAGTTTGACTCAGCCAGTGGTAGAGTCTCAGTAAGACTGACTCATCTTTGACAAGGTTAATATAGTGGAGTAGCAAAGAGCTGTTCAACACTGAGCCCATCTGAGAAGGCAGCTGCAAAGGCAGAATTATCAGTCAATAGTAAATAACTAAAAAGTGGGTTAGGGCAACATGGAAATAATCATGTAGGAAACATATAACAAAAATAAAGGGTCTTGGGCCAGCTGGTGGTATGGTCAAGGTGGCTGGTTCCCACAAGGCTGACTGTACAGTTTGAGTCCTGGGTCCAGTAGCTTGAAAAACATACTGGGCACATGTGTGTGCCCAAAATCCTGAAAGGAGGGAGAAACGGAGAAGAAAGGATTGCAACATGACCCATCCCCCATGAGGGGTGTTTTCTCACTTTTTCACTTGCCCCCACCCCTTCTCTCTAGTGAGTGCATATACCCTCTGGCAAAATTTTTTTAATAAAGGGAGCTAAAAGAAAAGAAAGGGCATCAAGAGCAAATAAAAAATGCAATAAGTACATGATCCAGTCACATACCTCTAAACAATGGATGTTCTGTAAAAGTTGAGTGAAGCTTTGAAGTTGTTCTATTGGAAATGAACCATTACTACTGAGATAATCAGAAAGACTCAACTCTTTTTTTCCACATTCTTTAGTGTAGCTACTGGAATTTAGCATTGGTATAATTGAATGAGAATTCCACTTCTAAAGGAGAAAGATATAAAATAATCTATCAATGAACTAAATAGACTATAAACTACAAATATAGAAACAGTTGTTAAAATATTTCAATTACAGGGCCAACAGGTGGTGTTGAGGTTAGGGTGGCTGCATTCCACATGGCTAGCTGCGCAGTTCAAATCTCAGATCTGACAGGCTGGAAAACACACTGGGTGCATGTGCATGCGTGTGTGCCCAGAATCCTGAGAAAATGGAGAAGAAAGGATTATGGTATGGCCATCCCCCTAGGGGGTAATTTCTCTCTTTCTCGCCCTATAGAAAACTAAAAAAACTGCTTAAAGTGAAAGTGTTTTAATAGAGTCAGAAGGTAATTTTCAAAGAACACTGTAATTGAAATGTATTTAAATATGTACAATCTTGGACCAGTCAGTGGCATGGTAGATAGGGTGACTAGATCACATATGGCCAACTGAGAAGTACAAGTTCTGGACCCAGTGGCTTAAAAAATATGTCAGCTATGTGGGCATGTATGCCCAAAATCCTGAGAGAAGAATGGAAGACAAGGGATTGTGGTGTGGCCACCCCCCCTGGAGAATGATTTCTCACTTTCCCTCTCTCTCTGGTGAGTGCATGCACTCTATAGCAAAAATTGGGGGGGAAAAATTAAATATATATAGTGTCCTCCAATACCTGAAGGATTATTATTTAGATTTAATAAAAAGAAGGCAGCCAGACCCATAGTACAACAGTTAAGGACTATGCAGTGGGAGTTAGATCCCACAGTATCAATCCTGGCTCTGGTGATTGGAAAAAACATACCAGGCATGTACATGAATACCTGGGATCCTAATGAGATGAAGACATGAAAGAAAAAAGATTGCAGCATGAGAAGGCCCTATTTGGGGAGGTGGAGTTTTTGACTTTTTCTCTTTCTTTTTTAAAAAGAAAAAGCCACACAAGCCATTTGGGGCTTTAGATACTTACTCTTTTTAGAGAACGGACATTAGCTGGACCTAACATCAGCTTTAGAGGTTCTGGAGAAGGTCCCTTGTTTCTCTGTCTCACAGCAAACAGAGCCGTCTTCCACAGATTCTCTGAATTCTTAAAATAGATCTATGAATTCAGAAGTAAAGTACAAGAGAGTAAGTTCCCATGTAGCAGAACAACATAAAATCTAAAACTTATTATTAATTGAAAACATATTAATAAGGAAATCTTTTACACTCATACAAATCCATTTAAAGTTATTTATTCTTTTTTCCTTATCAGGAAAAATGATGTACTTGATGAAATACATCAAAGAAGATCAACACGAAGTGCCAATTACTCAAAAAAGTCCCCCAAACAGTGCCATAGTACTACATTTTAAAACAGCAGTGTGTGTATATATATATATATATATATTATAAATATCACATATAATTCTATAAATTATGTTTATATTATAAATTATACATCCAAATCTATAAAATAGCTTTATTAAAAATAACTAATTCAATCTCAATCAAATTGACTTATGTCTCCTAATCCCTTACCTTCTTCCTAAGAGGCAAAGACACAGAAATTAAAGTAGGAACAAAGAACTTATACAAGAACAACAATGCCTGGAGATGAGGCTGCATTCCCTGAAAGAAAATAAAGAGTTTTCCAATTTCAATTCTGTGGTCAATGATAAACGGAGGAAACAAAATACAAGAAGAAAAAAGTAACAATAAAACAAAGACTAAATATATATTCAGATCCTAGTTTCACTATGATATGAAGCTGTAGAAATATACTGTAGGAAAATCAAAGAATGAATATGCAAATATTTAAACCAACCATCATAAAACCTTCTCCAACCTTTGATCTTCTGTTTCATGACTTCCCCCTCTATTTACTTGTTTCCTGTATTTTCACTCTTATCCTCTTGTTTTATCTTCTCAGTCTATACCTTAAGCTTGCTTACCAGTTATATTTATTAGCATAACATGCCTTATTCTCGCTGATAGCATAGACAGGACTGAAAGTTTACTTGTCCTCTAAGTTTGATTTAGACATCAAGGAGGTAGGACCAAAAAGGAAGCCAAGAAAACAGAGCAAAGAAAATATTAATACCTGATTATCCTAATTCTTAGAAAATGAACTAGTAAATCTCACAACTGTCAAGCAGCTTATTATGACAAAGCAAGTCTTAAGAAAAAACAGCAATCTCACAATGAAAAGTCTTTACTGTCAGATACCTGTTGTTTGACATATCTGAACATCCAGAGAAAACAAACTATTAAGATGAATTGCAAAGAAAGTTATTTTACTATACAGATGCTACTTGGCACTGGATAGGGCTATGTCCCAATAAACCACTCATAAGTTGATAAAGTAAAAAATGAACCTAACACACGTAACCTCAAATACCACAGCTTAGCCTAGCCTATTTTAAATATGCTCAGAACATTTACATTAACCTATAGTTGGGCAAAACCATCTAAAACAAAGCCTATTTTATAACTAAGTGTCGAATAGCTCATATAATTTATTGAACACTGTTCTAAAAACAAAAAAAATGTTTATATGTGTATTTTCAGTATAGTTTCTATCGAACACATATCACTTTCATACCATCATTCCTAAGTCAAACCATCTTAAGTCAGAGACCATGTATACAAAATTTTTGTTGAATTGAATACTGTGCAAAGGCGGGCAGTAAATGGGGTTTAGAAATACAGTATTTCTATTTTGTCATAGCTTCTAGAAACAAAATTTATTATATCCAAAATGACCCAATTTCTCTCCACTATTTCTTCTGACCTCTGTATACTCATTATCAGTTTCAAAGCATTTACTTTGAGTTAGAATTATTTTTTAAGATTTTTTTGGGGGGGGACCAGCAGTTAGCATAATGACTATGTCGCTGAACTCCCATGTAGCTGACCGTGGTTCGAGTCCCGGACCTGGTGGCCTAAACTCATGCCGGGTGCATGTGCGTGCGTGCCCAAGATCCCAAGAGGAGAATGGAGAAGAAGGGATTGCGGCATGGCCATCCCCCCTGGGGGGTGACTTCATGCTTTCTATCTCTGTCTCTCTCTGTTTGTCTGGAGAGCGCACACGCCCTATAGCAAAGACCTATCAAAAAAATTTTTTTTTCTTATCCACAAGATGTGTGTGCTCACCAGAGAGGGACAGAGAGTGAGACAGCGAGAGGGAAAGTGAGAAATTATCACCCCCAGGGAGAATGGCCATACCATAATCCCTTCTCCTTCATTCTCCTCTTGGGATTTTTGGATGCGCACACATGCCCGGAATGATTTTCGAGCCACCAGGTCCAGGACTCAAACTGCAGTCAGCCATGTGAAAGTACAGTGCTTTAACTATCATGCCACTTGCTGACCCCTGGAATGTTCATTGACAGAACAAATTTGTAGTACTACAGAAATTTTCAGAACATAATGTCCAGTTAATCAAACTTATCTTTGTTGTTAAAAAGTTAACACTAGCCTCGTAGGTAGTGCAGAGGTTAAGGAGGCTGGATCCCACATGGCCAACTGAGTAGGGTCCCAGACTTAGCAACTTGAAAAGCATGCCAAGTATGTGTGAGTGCATGCCCAAAATGCTGAGAGGAGAGTGGAGAAGAGACTGCGGCATAGGCATCCTACGTAGGGGGTGATTTCTTTCTCACTCTCTCTCCCCATCTCTGCCTCTCTCTAACAACCACATGTAATGCATTTTATAACAAAGTAGGAAAAAAAAAAAAAAAACCTAAGGGGGGTGGGGGGCAGCCCAGTGTGGATCCCATATGGCCAAGGGCTAGGTTCAAATAATTCTGATCCTGGTGGGACCAGAGGTTAGCATAATGGCTATGTCGCTGGACTCCCATGTAGTCGACCGCAGTTCGAGCCCTGGACCTGGTGGCTTAAACTCACGCCGGGCACATGTGCATGCATGCACAAGACTCCGAGGAGAATGGAGGAGAAGGGATTGTGGTATGCCCATCCCCCCGGGGGGTGATTTCTCGCTTTCTGTCTCTCTGTCTCTCTCTGTCTTTCTGGAGAGCACACGCGCCCTGTAGCAAAAATCTCCACAGAAAAAAAAAATTCTGAACCTGGTGGCTTGGAAAACACACAGGGTATTGCGTGTGTGTGTACACAAAATCCTGACACAGTGGAGAAATGGAGAAGGGATTTCAGTGTGACCATGCCTTATGGAGAGGTTACTTTCTCCCTCCTTCTCTTCCTCTCAGTCTCTCTCTGGCAAGAGCACACATCATCTGGCAAATCGAAAAATGGAGGGGGGTTGTAAAAGAGACTTCCAGTTAAATATGATATATTGAACATAACATAGCTATGTGATTAATTCCGGGTCCTCCCAAAGCCTCATTAAAAAGACAGTAAAGGAATTTTAAAAAGGCATAAAGCAGATGATCGAAGAAAGGAAACAGTAATTAAAAGATCTAAATAAGATTATGGAACCTAGAATGAAGATGGGCAAATAGTAACTAAATTAGCAAAACAGAGAAAATGAAACCTGCTGGGTAAAGTCTCTTTACAATCTAAATGATATATAGCGATTGAATGTATAAATAATAATAAAGAGTAAATAGAGACTGAACATAATCAATAAAAAAAGATTCATATTTGAGGATTCCCAGAGAAGGCTCAGAAATCTGATAGACCAGATACCTCTGAAAAGTGGAGATGAAAGAACAGAATATAGGATTGCTTGAAAGACTACGTAACAGTGAGAAACCCAAATTCCTTCACCCCATTGGCAATATATTAGGTTTATACCCTGTGAAGATGAAGCTGGACTCAGACAGCAGGTACGACTGAGGAAAGATACTACGGCCATTCATCACTCCTTTCCACTGCTTAAGTTTAGGAGTGTCAGAAGCCAGGTTTAGACCTCTATAATGGTTAATTTTACATTGATTTGGTTGGGCCACAGGGTGTACAAATATTTGGTCAAACATTCTAGGTATCTCTGTGATGAGATTAATATTTAAATCAATTGACTTGGAGTAAAGTAGATTGTCCTCTATAATGTGTGTGGGTCTCATATAATCAAATGAAAGCCTGAATAGAACAAAAACACCCACCTCCCCCGAGGACTGCCTTTGCACTTCATCCGCAATATCAGCTCTTCTTGATTCTATAATGGACTGCCTTCAAATTCAAAAACTGGATTATCGGCTCCCCTGGGTCACCAGCCTACCAGCCCACCCAGCAGATTTTGTACTTTCCAGACTCCATAATCATATGAACCAGTCCTTATAATATATCTCCCTCTTTCTCAGGGGACCCCTGCAACTCCATAGGCAGGAAGCAGGAGAATTCTTCTCTAAGAAAATTGACAAAAGACACCTGGGACGCTCCCCAATGAAAACATTGAGATCCTACAATGAATTAAGCCCTGTTCATACACCTAAGTTTCCAGTCACCATGTTAGTGCTCTACTATTAAATATGCACAATAAGGTTTACCAAGCAAGAGAAAAACCTCTACCAAACTAAATTGTGTCTAATGATTGAATGTATAATAATAAAAATTTAAATAATAATAGAAAAAACAGAAAGAAAGACAGAGGAAACAAACTAAAGAAATCTGAGGAACAGGAGACGAAGCTGGGAAGAGAAAAAAAGAATCAGTCTAAGATGCACATACACGAGTTCACACATGGTAGAGGGAGAACTGCAGAAACTATCCTCACCAACTTTTTTTGTTGAGAGAGAGATTTTTGCTATAGGGCACACGTACTCACCAGAGACAGAAGGCAAGAAATCATCCCCCAGGGAGAAGGCCATGCCACAATCCCTCCTCCTCTACGGTCTACATGGGACTCTGGGTGCATGCACATGCCCCTGGTGTTGTGTTTCAAGCTGCCAGGTCTGGGACCTGAACTGTGGTTGGCCATGTAGGCGTCTAGCACCTTAATCAGTATGTCATCTGCTCACCCCCTCACCAACTCTTAAGATGAGACCTAACTACCCCTTCTTGCTCTGACGATGCTATTGATAGAGCCTAGTTTATGTGGGATAATAACATGCCCATTTCACTTCCCAGCATGCATGCCTGCCTCCAAAAAGGCAATTTCTGTGTTTCCGTTTCCTTCTTAGATGGGGAATTATGGGATATTACTGTGGAGAGATGGGAAGCATGCCTTTGCAAGTATCGAAAATTCATACATCTAATATATTTGCTTGCATTTCCTAATTATGCCAGTTACTATCATGCATGTGGCTACATGAACATGGCTATGTCGTCTTGGTTTGATATTGTTGAACTCGAACAAACTCATCAAATTTCAGCTAATCAAAACAATCTGTTTTTTTCTCTTTAAATTTATTTTTTACATTAATTCACTATACATCATTACAGTATACAAATGAATTTTCCATCCAAAATACACTGTAAAACAATCTTATGAATGCATCTTTATAAATGGGCATTAATTGATAATGGATTAATTGGTAACGTACTATATAGATTCTTAGTAATGAAATCACACATTTAATGTCTAGGTTTAAAATTTTTCAATAATAACCTACTAAATCATTTTTCAACTTGAAGATATTTTGTGTTTCAGTTAACACAAATCAACAAGATCTTATGGTAAGAACATTTTATTAAAATATTTTGCTGTAACACAGGGAAAAGTACATCTTTTTCACAATTTCTATTAATGTGAAATACAATTCAATTTGGACAGAAACCTCACCATTAATAACCTCAGAGAACTAAGAGAAGAAATTGTGCCCATGGAACGAAAACAAGAGGCTATAAAACAAGAATAATCATTGAATTGTACTAAGAGGAAATCTCACACAGGGAAGCACCAATGTGTGTTTTATATTTGTTTCTCATTCAGTGGGAATGCTTTTGGGTAGGCCATGAAGGCTTCGGTTAGGCACCAGCACTACTACTTCCTCCTGTTTCATACCCCAAACTTCACAGACCTCTGTTGCGTGGTAGGTTTATTGGAAATAATGCAAGAGAGCTATAAGACAAGAGATAACAGTCAAACAATACATTGAAGCTTAAGTATCCAGAAGAGGAAGTCTTGAAATACTTTCCTAGATCACATCCACAAAAGAAACATAAACTCATTTTTGACTGATCCCTAACACTTATCCAACCATACTTACCCAAATCCCTAATTGTGTTTGCTGTTGAACATCTACATGCTGTTGTTGCTCATGCTGTTCCCTCTGGCAGGAGTGCTCTTTCTCTCCTTTCTCTGCCTACTTAAATCCTACTTATCCCTTAAAAGTTTCTCACAGAAGGTGTGGAAGCTGAGGTGCTGGATCCCACATGGCTGACTGTGTAGTTCAAGTCCTGGATCTGCAAGCTTGAAAATCAGGCCAGGCACATGTGTGTGTGTGTACCCAAAATCCTGAAAGGAGACTGGAGACAAAGGGATTGTGGCATAGCCAGCCCCTTGTGGGTGATTTCTCACTCCCCCACCTCTTTCTTAGGTGAGCACATATGCCCTATAACAACTACAACAACAACAAAAAGTTCTCTCAAGTATCTCCACCTCTCATTGGTCCTGAGTCTGATTCTCATTTTTTATTCTGTTGACTGAGATCCTCTGAAAGTAAGGCCCTTGAAGATAACAATTCATTTGATTTTGTATTCCCGAAGCCTAGCTCAGTACCTGGCACACAGTACACTAGTCAGTCTAAGGTCTTTGCAGTACTCACCACTCTGGCTTGAATATCAAGCAGTTTTCTCACACGAAATGGTTTGACTAGAAAAGATAAAGAAGAAAAGTACTATGCATTTGTTTCAGAATAAAAAGAAACTGGTTATACTTATGTAGTTGGTAGTTTCTTCTTACAAACCATCAAGAATATAAACAACTTAAGCCATTGAGCAGATGTTCTTAGATGAAAGTATCAATACTAAAGAGTAATTTCCACAATATGAGTCCCATCATATAAATAATGCTAGTAGCTATTGATATTTTAACTTTATAAAGGCCGATACAAATGCAAATTCCACAGAGTGAATGTAATACAACTAGAATGAAAATGCTCACCATTCTCTTTTTTGGTAAGTAAATATAGCAAATGGCACACATAAGGGCACTGTTAAAATATAAAAATTTAAAAGAGAAATGACAATATTTCTTAAACAAAACAGCAACACATTTTCTTTAAAGGTCAATCTTACACTGATTAAGTAAAAAGGCTTCTGAACTTCAAACAGTGTTTTCATTGAACAATATTTTCTTTAACACTTGCTATTCAATGATGGATCTTAATTTGCCAGGGAGCATACCAACTAGCTGAATAGAGACAGGCAGAGAGAGAAAAACTCAGAGAGAGAAAGCACCCCCCACGAGAAATGGTCACACAGCAATCCCTTCTCCTCCATCTCTCCCTCCTGTCGGGATTTTGAGCACACACAAACACACACACACACATAGCATGTTTTTCAAACCATGGGGTCCAGGACTCTAACCACATAGTTATGTGGGATCCAGCAACCTTAACTACAATGCCACAAGTTAGCCCTGAACAAGTTTTACAAAGATTCTCTTTTTCACATTATATAGTGGTGATTAAAAAAAAAAAAGATTTAGATGGGAATTCCATTAGATCATTTTGTAGTTATTTGGGGGATGAAAAAAACATTGCAAACAATTTGAAAAACAGAAAAAAAATGACCACCATGCTTCTACCTAACAAAAACTCATAAATTCCTTTCAGTATCAGTCCATATTATTAAAATACATATTAAAACTGTTAGCCCAATTCCCCCCTTAAAACCATTTCCCATTTTTTCTAGTCTTCAAAATCACTTTCTTTTTTTTAAATTATTATTTATTTAAATTTATTTATTATTCATTTATTTTCATTTGACCAGAGAGAGCGAGAGAGGGAAAGTGAGAAAGGAATATGCCAAGTCCAGGACTTGAACCATGGTCGGCCATGTGGGAGTGTCCAGCACCTTAATCCCCATGCCACCTGCTGGTCCCCGAAAATCACTTTCAATGATGCTTCATATTCCAATGAGTAGAAATAACTATTTTTTTTTAGATTTTTGACTATAGGGTACGTCCACTCACTAGAAAGACAGACAGACAGAAATTAATGGGACCAGCAGGTGGCATAACAATTACGTCACTGGACTCCCACGTAGTCAGCTGCGACTCAAGTTCCAGACTCAGTAGCTTAGAACTCACACCAGGCACATGTGTGTGTGTGCCCAAAATCATGAGAGGAGAATGGAATAGAAGGGATTGCGACATGGCTATCCCCTTGGGGAGTGATGTCTTGCTTTCTGTCTCTGTCTCTCTTTTTTTTTCCCCAGCAAAAGCATGCATCCTATAAAAAATCTCTCTCTTGAAAAAATAAATAAATAAAAGCAAGAAATCATCCACCAGGGTGGATGGCCATCCCTTCTCCTTCATTCTCCTTTCAGGAACTCTGGGCACGCACAGCACACACCTAGTGACAGTTTCAAGCCACTGGGTCCAAGATTTAAACTGTGGTTGACCAAGTGGGAGTCCAGTGCCTTAACTACTGCACCACCTGCTGGCCCCAATATAATATAATTAACAGTTTAGTCCTCAGTTTGGAAAACAGCATACACTCAATAAATTTGTTCATTAAATTACATAATGACCAATTCCCCTACATTATTTGATTTTAGGTGCTTATCTGTTGATAAATCAAGAGGACAGCAAACCAGTCTACTTGTTTCGTAAATAAAGCTCTATTGGAACAAGAACATCCAATTCTTTACATCCTATTGATAGCAGCTTTCACACTACACCAGCAGAGTTGAGTAGTTGTCACAGAAAACAGTATGGCCCTCAAGCCTACAATATCTACTACCTAGCACTTTAAGAACAAGTTTGCCAATACCTGCTTTAGATGACAAAAATTGAAAAAGTGAATTATGTAATAGGACTAGAGAAAGCAAAAAACAAAAGACTTTCTTCAAACAAATTTACGTTCTGGTAGTCAGAACTTTAAAATCTATTATAACAACATATTCCACAATGTCATTCCTTTACTCAGAAATGGGTTCAGAAAGAATATGGACAAGCATGAATTTAGATACAGAATCTTAAACATGATGGGTGCATGTGTGCATGCCCAAAGCCCTGACATGGAGAAATGGAGAAAAGAGAACTGTGGTCTGACCATGCCCAACTGGAGCAGTGCTTTCTCTGTCTCTCTCTGACAAGCATACACACCATCTAGTAGGAAAAAAAAGGAATAATACATATTATGACCAAGTCTGCTATATCCTACACAAAGTATAGTAACTTTCAGTAAAAATAAAAAAAAATAATTATCTCACACGCCTAATGATATGGACCATTCAGTAGCAACACTAGTCAACATACGGAATATAAAATCAGTGTTACAACTAAAAAGGAAAATATCACATGTATCTAATATTTCACGATTGTCTTGATGACAAATACTTAAGTACCATATCCAAGTCACCACAGAGTTAGACTCACACCAAATTATATGACAGTAACTAATTTTTTATGCCAGAGTACATGTACAAATACAAGAGAAGTAAAGAAGGATAATGGACAGAGAGGATGAGACTACCCTTAATGGGGCCTGATCACGTTACTGTCCTTCTTCCTCCAATTCTTCACCTCTTCAGGATCCTGAGTATGTGTACGCATGCCTGGCATTTTTTTTAATTTATTTTTATTATCATCATTATCTTCTTTATATTACATTGGATTACATATAACTTTACAGTGTATTACATTGCTTTTTCAAAAGGGAATTCCATGCATGTCAGTCAATACAGAGACATTAATCTCCCCACTTCATCATGTTTTTCAAGCCATCAGGTATAGGATTTGATCTCTGGTCAACCATGTGAGATCAGGCTTCCTCTGTTCAGCACACACCACTGCTCTATGAGGTCAGCCAAAAGTGACTTTTCTAAAATACAGGTTTTAAAAGTTAGGCCCTGTTTCTCTTTCCTCTTTTGTGTGTGTGTGTGTGTGCCAGAATATGTGTGAACTCATGAGAAAGACAAAGAGAGAGAAAGCAACCCAAATGGGGTGTGGTCACACCACAATACCTTCTCTTCTATTTCTCCATCCTCTCAGGATTTAGCGTATGTGCGCACGCATGTGCGCGTGCACACACACACACACACACACACACACACACACAGCATGTTTTTCAAGCCAAAGGGGCCAGGACTTGAACTACATGGGTGACCATGTGGGATCCAACTCTGTTAACCATTTGGTCACTTGGGCCAGCTCTAGGCCTTATTTCTTTTTCTTTCTTTTTCTTTTTTTTTTTTTTTGGAGAGGTTTTTGCTATAGAGGGTGTGTGCACTCTCCAGAAAGACAGAGAGACAGAAAGCAAGAAATCACCCCCCTGGGGGGATGGCCACGCCGCAATCCCTTCTCATCCATTCTCCTCTCGGGATCTTGGGCATGCACAAACACACGCCCTGCATGAGTTAAAGCCACTGGGTCCAGGACTCTAACTGCGGTCAACAACGTGGGAATCCAGTAATGTAACTATTACGCCATCCGCTGGTCCCACGATAAATACTATTTTTAAAAAGATTAGAACATGGCCAGCAGGTGGTATGCTGGTTAAAGTAATTGGATCCCACATGGCTGACTGCATGGTTCAAGTCCTAGATCTGGTAGCTTAAAAAAATGGTGACTTAAAAAACTTACTGGGGGATCAGTAAATGTTGTAATGGTTATGTTCATGGACTTCCTTGAAGTCAACTGTGGTTTGAGTCCCAGATCTGGCAGCTTAAAACTCATGCTGCATGCATGTACGTGCATGCCAAAGATCCCGAGAGAAGAGTGGAAGAGAAGGGACTGCAGTGTGGCCATTCTCTCTAAGGGGTGATTTCTTGCTTTCTGTCTCTCTGTCTGTCTGTCTGTCTCTGTCTCTCTCTCTCTCGTGAGCACATATGCCATATAGCAAAACACTCTCAAAAACAAACAAACAAAAATGTTGAATGGGTACCAGCAGGTGGCATGGCGGTTAAGGTGCTAGATTCCCAATGGCTGATCACAGTTTGAGTCTCAGACACAGCAGCTTGAAAATCACACCAGGTATATGCCCAAAATCTCAAGAAGAGAATGGAGAAGGACATATAGCTTGGTCATCCCTCCTTGGAGGTGATTTCTCACTTCCCCTCTCTCTGTCTCTTTCCCATGAATGCACATGCTCCATGGCAAAAGCCTAACAAAACAAAATAATCATAATAAAAAAAAACATGTAGAGTGCATGTGCATACATGTCCAAAATCCTGAGAGGAGAATGGAGAAGGAGGGACTGCTACACAGCCATCCCCTTTGGAGGGTGCTTTCTTACTTTTCCTATGCCTAGTGAATGCATGTGCCCCGGAGTAAATCTGAAAATAAATAAATAGATTAGAACAAAGTAAAGTAGGCCTTTCTCCTTCCTGCCAAACTGAACAAGAAATTCTCTAGGGACCAGCAGATGGCATAATGGTTTCATCACTGGATTCCCACTTAGCTAACCATAGTTTGAGTCCTGGACCCAGTAGCTTAAAACTGATACTGGTCATGTGTGCATGCCCCAAATCCCAAGAGGAGACTGCAGGAGAAGGGACTGTGGTGTGGCGATACCCCTGGGGGGTGATTTCTCACTTTCTGTTGCTCTGTCTTCAGTAAGCATAACATTCCCTATAGCAAAAAATCTCTTTAACAACAACAAAAAAAAATTCTCTAGTCATGACAATTATTCAAGTAGATTGTAACTGATGTGACACTTATGATTAGGTTCTATTAACTAGAAAACAGATATCTATTGAGTAAATATGCAACCACACCATAAGAAAACCAAAGTGACTCTATATTTTTGTACTTATTCTTGGAGTTCATCTTAATGGATTAAAACTTAGGAAAAGTAGTCTTTAGCTTCTTTCACTTCCCTCCCAATGAGTCTCATGAAACCTAACCTTTTACCTCCCTCACACTAGATAAAGCCTAATGTTTAACTAATGAAAGTCAGTAAGAAGTTTGCCGAGTCTTTACAGATACCAGGCTATAGAGATAGGGAGGGGAAAGATGCCACCAATTCCCTCCCATGTGATCAGT